TCAGAATTTCTAGAGTTAATGTGGTTACACCTCTTTAGCACCTGATGGATAAATGCATGCACTAGCTGTATGGATTTGAGCACAGGGATCTCTTGTTTGTTGTATTGTTGGGTCAGTAGCCAGACCTGAACCTTGTAGCTCTCCCCATTGTGTCTTTTCCCCTATGCTAGCATTGTGTCCACAGTAGCACTTGCGTACAGGGCAGAGTAGGACTGGCCATAGAGGGATTACTTTGACGCAGTTGGCCAGCTTAAGCATGTATTGCAATATGTGTGAACTAAATATCCCTATTTATTGTGTCTTTTATACCAGTGTGCAGAGGGTCCTCAGAATTGCTAGCAGTGTACCTGTCACAAAATACTCATCATATCCTTTTATTGAAGATAATGCATTGTACATATCACATTACAAAGGGAGGAAAGCAAGAGATAATGTGCTTTGTGCTCAAGCTAGCACTTAATCATAATTCATGATTACGTGCTAGCTTGAGCATAAGACCTGTTATCTCTTGCTTTTCTCCCCCTGTGATGTGATGTGTACAGTGCTGTCCAAGACTTTTCTCCAAGTTCATTCCACTCTAACAGAAAACTGAAGCTGAGTTCCAAGTTTCATTCTGGCTTATTCAGTGTCCCAATAAAATCCTGAAGTTCTTTCTTGAAACCTCCATGAAGAAATAGTCATCAATATAATGTTTCCACAGAGCTGGTTCTGTCCCTAATTTTGAAAGGATAAATGTATTTTCCCAGGCCTTATGAAAATATTATTATATGAAGAAGAAAACTAACATTCCAAAGCTGACCCTCTAAGTTTATGCAGCGCTACCCCTGTAGAAACCGCTTATTTTTTGCCCGGGTCTCCCCTTTCTTAACCTCACAGCCAGGCACAAGGTATTTTCTATAACCAGGTGCACACACACACTTCCACTTATTGTCTTCAATGACCAGTCTAGGGGATGTTGTTTTTGTATTTTTGTAGGATACTCCAAATTTAGAACTAATTATAGTTGAGGATATCTAACTGATCTCTCAGTTGAGCGCTGTTGAAGACCTGGCTAGAAGCAGATAACAGACTGCTCTTTTTTATAATAACAACAAGTAGTTTAGAAGTGATCAAAGTCCCTTCAGCAGTAGTAGTAGTAGTAGCAGGACAAAGCTCCTTGGGTACTAGCCAGTTACAGCAGACTGTGGCAGTCCAAAAGTAGCAGAAAATGAGCAAAGTCCTATGCAGTAGCAAAGGTTTGACTAGCTTATCAGAACATTAGCCAGTGTTCCCTCTTTCTCAGACCCACACTGACTATAAAGCATAAGAGAGATAGCAAAGCACACAGATTCCCCAAGATATCTCAGTGTCTGTACTCACAATGCCCAATGACAAAATGGTAGCCTCCTTTCAACCCTCCAAGCAACACTCTCCAGAGATACCAAACAGATCTTCTGCAGACAGTTCCCCTTAGTCAGCATACTGAAAAACCAGGGTCGCTCTCTTTCTCTTGCTTCAGGCATTCACACACCTGAGGCCGCATGGCAGCAGGTGCCAGGTGAGGCAAGCCTGCCTCCAGCCTGGCTTGGTGCAATCCTCTCTAGTAAAGACCCTAAGCCCATATGCTCACAGAACATAAATCCAACTCCCAGCATGCAGTGGGGCCACCCTCCCCTGTAATTGGCCTGTGTTATCCATATTAATTCTGCTCATTGCCTAGCACCTGCCTATGTTCTGGAAGGCTCTACTAGCTTCCAAAAGGCAGGTGGAGCTCAAGACAAACTCAAACAGCACCAGAGCATCATAAACAGAGCTGAATAATCAATTGCAGCACTGTTAAGCAGAGTGCCAAACTGAATTTACCTAACAGCCTCTCTGTTAAGCAGAGAAAAAACAGCTAGACTTATCCAAACTATACAAATCCTAGCACCTACAGTATCTAGGATGATGCTACATTTATAATGTGTGCCCTTGAACCAAAACATATTAACCAAGCATATCATCTCATTAGACAAATCTGACAGATAGGGGATCAGACCAATAGTCACTGGTGTGAAATCCCACACCTCCAGGATGTCTGAATACCTACACATCCAACCACTGGTACACACCCTACCTGTCACTTAAAAGACACTAAGCAGGTTCTGAACTGCTCTGAAGTAATACTGTATAATGGCAAGGTATAGACACTTCCAATGTAAAATCTGTATATATAATTTTGATCATGATGAAGGCACTCGAGAAAATAGATGTCCTTGTGGAAACAAATATTAGTGAAAACAAATTTAGATTTATGATTGATATGATCCACATAAAAAAATTTAATTTAGATTTATGATTGATATGATCCACTTTTTTAAATAATACATTCTGGTTTAAAAGCATTCATTAATAACAATTTAGATGGTCAACTTGCCTCCTCTTATGCAGTTTATTGAAGACCAGGCAACAGATGTTTATTCCTCATAATTTGGGGACAGAGCTGCTTCTGTAGAAGCATTAAATTGATGAATGCTCATGAGGAAGGAATGCAGGATTTTACTGAGCCCCTGAATAATCCCAAGTGCAACTTGGAACACTACAATTTTCTGTAAGACTGAAAATTATTTTTTTGGACTTGATGATTAAAATTGTAAAAGGGGGTATTGCCACCCAGATTTTCCTGGAAGAGATGGACTGTATTGGCTTTGAGAGCAGCTGTCAGTTTAAACCTTGGATTAAGGTAATAACTAAAGGGCAGTTCTCTAAAAAACACCAGAATTGCACAGAGAGGGACATGATTGTTTGACAATCTGGAGAATTTAGTCAAAAAGTTGCTCTAAAGCCCTGACTATAGAGAGGAACTTCTAGAGTATCATCTGGAGATGCAGATGAAGCCCCTACTTATATCCTTCCCTTATTCCCTAAAGATAAAGCTATCAGAATTCTTAGCCCCTAGTTAGGATAGATCCTATTTTAAAATCATTTTTGCTCCATAGAGCCAGATTTGTTTTTAGGTAAGTTTTTATGATAAGTAAACACTTCTGATGACTTTTCTCACTGAAGCAAATGGGTTTAGGACATGTAGAATATTTTATGCTTGCATACACTCAATGATAATTGTGAAATTGATACATTTAAATCTACTGTTACTAGGAAAGTTTTAGTTAAACAATCTTTAATACCTGTAATACCAATAATGTGGCATATATATTAGAATTTTCTTGCTAATTACAGTACATTGGACACATAATACTCATGTTGGTGAAATGTGTGTAGAGAAATACATGCACAACATTAAAAAGGTAACACCTATTTTACAAATCTAAAATACTACGGGCCTAAGGTTTGCAGCTATACTGCAGGTTCAAGCCAAAAGGAGAGGAGTCAGTATTATCAACCTCTTTAATCAGAAAGAGGATGAATAGGTGTACAGGTTGGTTTTGCTGCACCCCAAGGGACTTAATATTGATTGTAATATCAATTTTTTTTATGAGTTCTCTCTTAGTCTTTTTGGAATCTTAATTATTTATCCAATCATATCATTCCAAACATTTTCCCATGGGTAAAATGTATTTTTTATTATTATTATTATTTGATATTTATATTTATAGGAATATTTAAATGATTTTGGTTTATTTTAATATATCTTTTGGAAAAGGAACTATGGCACTGTAATTAATTTTAATTGATATTTTTAGTTCAGGACATTAAGGGTTAATATGTACCACAGGGTTACATTACATTACACCCCCACCACACACACATCCATACATGAAGAAGGCAGACTGTCAAAACATATTGGGATAGAGGGAGAATAGATCACTTTAGAGCTGCAGGAATTGGGATGTAAACAGAAAAAAATGACATATGAGTGCAAAAGCACCACCAGTATAGTATGGAACCAGAAAAGCCTTATTTTATGCACTGAAACATCAAAAAACTAAAGTGACATACAGTGCCTTGAAAAAGTATTCATACCCCTTGAAATTTTCCACATTTTACAACCTAAAAAGTAAATGTATTTACTGGGATTTTGTGTGATAGACCAACACAAAGTGGCACATAATTGTAAAGTGGAAGGAAAATGATTAACGGTTTTCAACATTTTTTACAAATAAATATCTGAAAAGTATGGCGTGCATTTGTATTTGTAGAACCACCTTTCACTGCAATTACAGCTGCAAGTCTTTTTGGGTATGTTTCTAGCAGCTTTGTACATCTAGAAAGTGACATTTTTTGCCCATTCTTTTTTTGCAAAATAGCTCAAACTCTGTCAGATTCACAGAGAATTTGCCACAAATTCTCAAAGGATTTTGGTCTAAACTTTGACTGGGCCATTCTAACTAGAGATGAGGGAATCGAACATGACGAAGTGGAATTCGTTCCGAAGATTTGGAAAAATTCTATTCGCGACGAATCCGAAGATTAGCAAACTTCGGATGCACGAATCGAATTTTCCCAAAAATGGCGGCGACATGTGTGGCGACGGAGAAAATGGACAGAGAAGATGGGGCGGGGATCTCTGGGAAGGCGCGCAGACAAGGCGCGCTGACCCATAATGCATTCATGACATGTGATCGCATTAGCCAATCAGCAGGCAGCCAGCACTGTGTAATGGTGGAGCTATAAATCGCGGCTATCTTAGAATTCTCCATTAGCCTCCGGTCATTCAAAAAGAGACAGACCTGTGTGTATTAAGGGACAGAATTAGGGCCACAGAGACTTTAGGGCCACAGAATCGTTACTCAGGGACACAGAATCGTTACTCAGGGACACAGTGTTCAGTGCTGTGCGCATTAAGCCAGACACCAAAGGGCAGCACAGACCTGTTATTACTCGCTCAAGCATGGCTGAACAAAACCAGTCTCTACCACAAATTGGACTTAGACCTGCCCAGGGTCTCGTAAGTAGATTGCACGGAGGAGTAGAGTTCGTTATTGGAATTAACTGTGAGGGACTTTTAAACCTAGGCCTGTGCATGGCCTTCAATTGAAGCTGCTTCTGCTCCGCCACTCTGCCATTGGACTCTTGATAGTCGTCTCCCCACGCTGCTGCTGGGGGGACTTTTTAACATAGGCCTCTGTATGGCCTTCAATTTTAGCTGCTTACGCTCCGCCACTCTGCCATGGGCCCCTGTACCGCCTCCTCATGCTGCTGCCAGGCCCGTAATCTGCCATGGGCTTCCGTACCGACTCCTCATGCTGCTGCCAGGCCCGTAATCTGTCATGGGCCCCTGTACCGCCTCCTCATGCTGCTGCCAGGTCCAGAGTGTGTCATGGGTCCCTGTACGGCCTCCCATTGCTGCTGTCTCCATCGCCACACTCTGCCATGTGCCACTTTCAGGTCTCCTCACACTGCTGGTGGGTTCCATTTTGTCATAGGGTGCTGTATGGCCTCCCATTGCTGCTGCCTCCACCGCCACACTGTGGCTCCATACTCTGGTTTTGGCCCCGTGACTGCCCAAATGAGTGAAGTGTGCGGTGATTCTAAGATCGACGGCACTCATCTGCATGTCATACTGACTGACAGTATTATTTCTCTTCCCCAGCAGACTCCAAGGGCATTTAAAATTAAAGGTACAGTGTTCTGCACTAATATAAAGGCTCTCTGAAGCCTAGAAACACCCTTTTTATAAGTTAAATTCGCAGCGAATATATTCGGCTCGAAGCGAATTTATTCCGCGAATTCGGCGAATCAGCCGAACCGAATTTTTGAATAATTCGCTCATCTCTAATTCTAACACATGAATGTGCTTTAATCTAAACCATTTCATTGTAGCTCTGGCTGTATGTTTAGGGTCATTGTCCTGCTGGAAGGTGAATATCCACCCCAGTCTCAATTCTTTTGCAGATTCTAACAGGTTTTCTTCTAAGATTTCCCTGTATTTGGCTCCATCCATCTTCCCATCACCGCTGGTCAGCTTCCCTGTCCCTGCTGAAGAAAAGCATCCCCACATGCTGCCACCACCATGTTTCACAGTGAGGATGGTGTGTTCAGGGTGATGTACAGTGTTAGTTTTCTGCCACACATAGTGTTTTGCCTTTAGGCCAAAAAGTTAAATTTTGGTCTCATCTGACCAGAGCACCTTCTTCCACATGTTTGCTGTGTCCCCCACATGGCTTCTCGCAAACTGCAAACAGGACCTCTTATGGCTTTCTTTCAACAATGGTTTCTTCTTGCCACTCTTCCATAAAGGCCAGATTTGTGGAGTGCACGACTAATAGTTGTCCTGTGGACAGATTCTCCCACCTGAGTTGTGAATCTCTGCAGCTCCTCCAGAGTTACCATGGGCCTCTTGGCTGCTTCACTGATTAATGCTCTCCTTGCCCGGCCTGTCAGTTGAGGTGCACAGCCATGCCTTGGTAGGTTTGCAGTTGTGCCATATTCTTTCCATTTTCAGATGATGTATTGAACAGTGCTCCATGAGATGTTCAAAGCTTGGGATTTTTTTTTATAACCTAACACTGCTTTAAACTTCTCCACAAGTTGATCCCTGACTTGTTTGGTGTGTTCCTTGGTCTTCATGATGCTGTTTGTTCACTAATGTTCTCTAACAAACCGCTGAGGGCTTCACAGAAGATCTGTATATATATTGAGATTAAATTACACACAGGTAGACTTTATTTACTAATTAGGTGACTTCTGAAGGCAATTTTTTTTACTAGATTTTAGTTAGTGGTATCAGAATAAAGGGGTCTCAATACAAACGCTGAAAGCCATTTATCATTTTCCTTCCACTTCACAATTATGTGCCACTTTGTGTTGGTCTATCACATAAAATCCCAATAAAATACATTTACATGTTTGGTTGTAACATGACAAAATGTAGAAAATTTCAAGGGGTATGAATACTTTTTCAATCCACTGTATACAGTAAGAAAAACACAGTAGGTGGAAGCAAAGCATGTTTCAAGCCTGAACAAACAGCAGTTTCAAAAACTATATATGTAGATGTAACAGATATATAGAAGATGGGAGGGAGAGAATTGATCACAAAAGTGAGGGGGTTTTTCAGTGGCTCCTAGTAAGCCTATGAAAATAGTCAAGAGATCAGACTTCATCAGTCATTGGTGGCATGGTTACTAACTGTTTCTTGAGGACCAAGGATCTGTACAAGCCTGCCTTTGTGGTTCCAAACAGTATTCTGGAAAAATGAAATAAGCTGTTGAAGGTGTGGTTAGGGTAAAAATCATAAAAAGGGTCCAAGTCTTAAAGAACTTTTTAAGTTTTGCCTTTTTTTTTATTTTTTTCTGTGTCTGGTCTATCAATATAAGATTTTTGATTTCAGGATGTGGGGATGTAGCCGGCATAATATGTAACATTTAGAGCAAGTAGGTTAAGATGTTCAATCTTCCTAGGTGTGAGGTTTCAAGGTTCATCAGAGGATAGCTATGTCCTTGTGCAAAGCAAGGCAAGTATGTGAGAAAAAACCTTCAATGGTTTGATATAGAGCTGATATACATAGTTGATATAAAGCTTGATATACACGCTGTCAGAAGATTTGGATAGTTGGACCAAGAAGATGTATTACATCTTGTTTTATTTAAAGTAATTCTAAAGTATTTTTTTTTTCTTTTAAAATAACAAACATGTTATACTTACCTGCTTTGCACAATTCTTTTGCAAAAAACAGCCCTGTCCTCCTCTTCTTAGTTCCCAGCTGGTGCTCCTGGTGCCTTCCCCCTGTTGAGTGCCCCCATAGCAAGCTGTATACTCTTGCAATGATTCACATAACACATCTTATAGAATTAATTTGTTTGTTTAAACTGAATGGGTTGCTTTATAAATTAAGGGTTCTCATATACTTTAAAGTCTCATTAAACCCAAATTAAAATTTATTCACCTTCAATATTAACCTGTAATAATGAATATTTATTCATTTTAACATTTTTATATGTAGAGTGAGAAAAAAAACTAATTGATCATGTCATTTACACCTGCTATCTCCTTGCCTGTGGACCAGCTCCAGCATCAGTCCCTATTGTTTGGTCATTGCCACCTATACTGTGCATGCTTTTTCTGTGAACAGGCAGTCTGCTCACTTCCGAGTTTGTCCCAGTTGAACCGCTTCCTGACTGCCCTATAGCAGAAGTACTGCTACAGGAAGGCAAGGATGAACACAATCACGTATATATAAACTGATTTTGTATTTCCGGGTTGGTGGGGGGCATGTGCACTCCCTACCCACACCACTATTGGCTCCTCTGCACAACAGAGCAATACAAAGCAGCTTGTCTCCCTAGTAAAATACACACAGCACACTATGTAAAACACACACAGCACACAGTTAACCCTTTGATCGCCCCAGATGTTAACCCCTTCCTGCCCATTGTCTTTAGTACAGTGTCAGTGCTTTTTATTAGCACTGATCACTGTATTAGTGTCACTGGAGATGTCAGTGGCAGTTAGTCAGTTATACCCCAGTGTCAGAATGCCCTCCGCAGTCCAGCAATAAGTCGCTGATCGCCCCCATTACTAGTAAAAAAAAAATAAAAAAATTCAGTATACTGTATATACCGCCATTTGTAGCTTTGTACCGCCATGCTGTAACTTTCACATAAACCAATTAATTAACATGTATTGGGATTTGCTTTAGCAAAGACATGTAACAGAATACATTTTGGCCTAAATTTATGACAAAATTTGATTTTTAAAATTTTTTTATTGGACATGTTTAATAGCAAAACTTAAAAAATATTTTTTTTTCAAATTTGTCGTTTTTTTTGTTTATAGCACAAAAATTAAAAAATGCAGAGTTGATCAAATACCACCAAAAGAAAGCTCTATTTCATTTATGTACATCATTGCATGATCGCACAATTGTCAGTTAAAGTAAGGCAGCGCCGCATCACAAAAAATGGCCTGGTCAGGAAGGGGGATAAATCCTCTGAAGGGTAACTGGCTAAGCTGCCTACATGTCATCTTTGTGGATGTTTGTGGATGTAATGAGTGAAAAGTCCCTCCCTCCTTCTTCCTGCATGCCTAAGTCATGGAGTAGTCACGTGACCATTACAGTGCCAATTAGCACTGTGCAGAAACTCATAGTTCATTAGATGCTGTATAAAACATGAAAAACAGAGGCTCCTCTCACAAATCTTTCTCTGCATATGGGAACAAGCAGGGAATGATTACGTGATTCCTGCAGAAAACAGTGAAGAAAAGGTAGTTAGAAGCTTTTTTTAAGAAATGACAAGCAGAATAATTATATGTGTGTGTACTGTATATACAGAGAGAGTTGGACAGAAGATCCTTACTCCATCAGCAAGACCGGTATCTGCTCCTGTGCAAGGAGGAACAGGATGAGCAATGGCAGAGCCCTACAAAATGACCTACAGCAGGCCAGGTGTGAATGTCTCTGACCAAACAATCAGAAACAGACTTCATCAGGGTGGTCTGAGGGCCCAACGTCCTCTAGTGGGCCCTGTGCTTACTGCCCAGCACCAAATAGCTTAATTGGCATTTTTCATTGAACACCAGAATTGACAGGTCTGCCACTGGCACTCTGTGCTTTTCACAGATGAGAGCAGGTTCACCCTGAGCACATGTGCCAGACGTGAAAGGGTGTGGAGAGGCAGTGGAGAACGTTATGCTGCCTGTAACATCATTCAGCATGACCATTTTGGTGGTGGGTCAGTGGTGGTTGGGGAGGCATATCTGTGGAGGGATGCACAGACCTCTACAGGCTAGACAATGGCACCCTGAATGTCATTAGCTATTGGGATGAAATCCTTGGACCCGTTGTCAGACCCTACGATGGTCCATTGGGTCCTGGGTTCCTCCTGGTGCACGACAATGCCCGGCCTCATGCAGGCAGTTCCTGGAGGATGAAAGAATCGATACCACTGAATGGCCCCCATGCACACCTGACATAAATCCAATAGAAAACCTCTGGGATATCATGTTTTGGTCCATCCGATGCCACCAGTTTGCACCTCTGACTGTCCAGGAGCTCAGTGATGCCCTGGTCCAGTTCTGGCAGGACACCATTCATCGTTTCATTAGGAGCATGCCCCCAAAGTTTTCAGGCATGCATACAAGCACATGGGGGCCATACAAACTACCGAGTACCATTCTGAGTTGCTGAAATTAAATTTCAGCAATATCGACTAGCATGCTGCATCATTTTTTCACTTAGATTTTCTGGGTGTCTTTGAATTCAGTCCTCTGTAGGATTTTCATTTGTTGAATCGAACTTGCGAAGTGGAATTCGTTTCGAATATTAGGAAAAATTCGATTCGCACCGAATCCGTAAAATTAGCAAACTTCGGATGCACCGAAACGAATTTTTCCCCCCGCATCGGACAATTTTCATCCCTTCTACAGCCGGCAAAATGTGTCCCTGAGAGAGCAGCTATTTCTGACAGTTCTCTGAACTAGTTCCTTCACATTTACAGCGTTGAAAACATTGTATCTATTTTTTCCATTTAGGATACAGATGTTTTTATTCGGAAACAAATAGATACAATGTTTCAACCGCTGTAAATGTGAAGGAACTGTCAGAGAACTGTCAGAAATAGCGGA